TTCCACAGTATGAATGTGCCATATTTTTACCTACTTATATGTTGAAGAATGATCGGTATTTCCAAAATTTAACTTCTGAAAAGATTGCTACATACATAAGAAGATATAATTATTTCTCCCAAATTCGGACTTCAAGGTTTTGTTATATAGCTAAAAATGTGATTAGTGGGCCAAATGATAACATCATTATTAATAAGTAGAAGATTTTCATTTTATTTTTCATATTGGTTGCAACAACTTGCATTCTCATTCATCAAGAATAAGAATTCCAATTTCTCAGGCTGGGGAGATAGCTCAATGTCTGAGAACACTTGCTGCTCTTCCAGAAGACCCAGGTTGAGTCTCTATAACCCATATAAAGATGCTTACAACCACCTGTAAGCTCAGATCCATAGAATCCAATGTTCTCATCTGACCTCTGCTCTCATATACACATATGTGTGTGAACACACACAGACACACATGTACACACACATAAATAAAAGTAAAATAATTTTCTTTTTAAAGAGTTCCAATTTTTCCATATTTTTGCCTCTTGCTATATTTTCTTGTTGTCATTCATTAATAAGCATCCTACAGGTATGAGGTGTGATCTCATTGGCTTTCAAATTTTCATTTACCTAATAATTAATGGTTTATGCTATGGATAGTAAACCCTTATTCAATATCTTATTTCCTGGGATTTACTTTCACTCTGTTTACTTATGCTGTGCAGAAGCTCTTTGTTGATAGACTCCCAACATCTGTTTCTCTGTTGCTTGTGTATGGCATCATACATTTTCTAACTATGATGAGACCAGTACCACTTGGCTATTGTCCTATATATTCTTCTATATGTTTACTAGCTTTGAGATGATCTTATCTTTAATCCATTCTGTGCTGATAGTTGCATATGGTTCAATTTTATTCTTTGCATGGGACGATTGAGCTTTGCTAACACGATTAGTGTAAGAGATTGTCTTTTATATAGCCTCTTTATAGGTCATTTTACCTTTATTCATGGGTTTATTTGGGGGATTTCCATTCTATTCCATTGATTGGTGTGTCTATCATACCAGCACCATATTTTGTTAATTACATACTTGACTTGAGAGATGGTTCAGC